CTAGAAGATATAACACCTGGACTACTATAAAGTCGAAACCTACAGTTACTACTTGTATCACTGGTAATTCAGTAGTTTTTATGGACATTTGTTATAGTCACAGAAGGTGAAAGATTCACTTGATTTCTTTTAAATGTAATTACTTAAGGTATAAATTATATTGATTTTTTTATTATTTTATCTGCTCACTTCTGGAATAAGGAAGTACGATGCACCAAAGAACAACAGCTAGATTTAACAACTCATGTTCTTTGATGAAAGCTGCACTTTTTTTTTTAGCTCCCTGAAGTATCCTGAATATTTACATGGTAAGAAAGAGTACTTGCCATGAGTAAAATGTATCAGCAGTACTAAACTTCTTGAATGATGATGTGGGTAAGATTTCTAAATATTTTAACAAAAAAGCTGAGTTATAACTTGCATTTATCTTCTGCAAGTCATTTAAAACTGACATTCCCTCCATAAACAGATCCACTCCTTTTGTACGTTTGGAAGCACACCCTCTTGCATTAGCAGAAAATGTACTGCTGGCTACTTTTTATTCTTGTTTACAAGATAACACCTACAAAACAGAATGAGTCAGCAAACTGAATCCTATTCTGCCCATGCATTGTTAACAGAATCGTTAATCAAGTTCCAGCTTCTTCATTAGTATGCATAAACAAGAAAGGCCTGAATTTGTTATTGTGACATCTGATTGCATTTGCACTATGAGCCATTTTAAAAAGATTTTTTTCAGTTTCCTAATTTTTTACATATAGAAAGAGCACACTGGACATTCTTCAGAAGTCAGAAAATATGTTAATATGAATGGGTATTCATTTGTACTGTAAAAAATTATTGTAGACTTTCACTAAGTGGGTTCCCTGCCTCCACTTAATCAAAACTAGGGATGCCAAACTGGACAGCAGTGCAATATTGCACCTTTGAACAATAAAGATGTTTTTCCATTATCATGATAAGCACCACCTGAAGCCACTGCCTCTTTTCCAGTTCCAATAATCACTGATAAATGGTATAACAGTTTTATAAACAAACAGGAGAAAGCTCATCCTTTTTCCCCTAGACATCTGAGTAAATTTAACATAAACTGAGTAACTATAAACTTGAAGCTCTAGGGTGTTACTTTTTAAAGCACTAAGAGGTTTAATCAGAGTGCAGTTGAACTTGAAACTACGGAATTTTTTAATACACCACCAATGTTGAATACGTGGAAAAAACTGGTCAGAAGCTTGGACATGGAGTGATGGGTACTATCAAAATGGTTACTAATAAAATAAATGCAGTCTTTAAATTTGACTTCAGCGTGGCCCTCAGCTTTTACAAGTGGTAAAGGCAATGGCCAGGAAGAACGAGAGGGGGGTATAAGAGCCCTGCGTATCAGTGCAAGTCAAGGAGGTGTGCATGTGGTTTGTGTGGTGCTACATAGTCAGGTGGAGGACTGGGGATGGGCACACCACCACAAGCGCTGCAAGCCTGATGGTTTGCCATTCTGTGCACAAGCCTGGCATGCTTAGCTGGTGAAACCTCTGCAAGGTCACCAGCAGCCTCCTACCACCACCAAAGACACATCCTCTACTGCTTCTTCCACTGTGGACTTGCCTACGGTGAACTGGTAGACAAACTGGATACCAACTGGCCAGGGACTTGGTTGCACCTGCATAGCCATACGTGGTGCAGCATAGCTCATACAGGAGCTGAACGAGCTCTTAGAAGAAGCGGTGGTAGGCCTTATTGCTGCATAGGCAAAAGTAAGCCATGCACTGCATCTGCTAGCACTACTGGATCAGGCTGTGAGGGCAGCAGGGATCCATTGTGATCACAGACTGTGAGGGCAGCGGGGATCCATTGCAGGCTGGAAGTGAAATTGATGAGCCTCTGGCAGCAGGAACTGACCCAGATGTGATGCAGCTATGCACTGCCAGTAAAAAGGGGTGGGGTGGGCTGGGCTAGGCTGGAGAGGGCAGTCCCTGGGTGGGTGTGGTTCCCCAGGTGGCCACGCAACTGGTGCTTTCTTTTGCACTAGGCTGTCCTCAGGAACCTCCAGAGATCCCAGCAAAGTAGAGGTGCACCGATACACTGGTCCGATATTGGATCAGTACTGATATAAAGAAAACTGGCTGCATCGGAAATTGACCCAATGTGGCTGATAATTTGGCCGATAAATGCTCATGCATATGCGCAGTTGCAGCACAGCACACAGACAGTGAGAAGCAAACCCAACAGCATGTGGAGAGCTGTGTGCATCTGGTAAGTCTGGTGTGGTAGAAGGGGAGGGGAAAGGGAAGGGACGTGGAGGTGCAGATCAACAACCCGTGAGGGAGGGGGCAGGGGCAGGCACTGCCCAGCTGAGGTGGGGCAGGGCAGGGTGGCTCCCGCTGCTGCTTGCACCCCAGAAGGGCATGGGGGTGGGGGGGAGGGTGTGTGCCCCCGGATCTGTGCAGGGCAGGGTGGGCGAGCTGCAGCTGCAGGCTGGAACCAGAGGTGTGCAGGGTTCTTTTCGGCAGGGGCTGGGCTCAGGGTGGGGGCTATGGAGGGGGCTGCAGACACTCCAAATTTCACCGTAGTCCCGCTCCCAGCACCGCCACGCACCCAGTGTATCCCCAGCTTTTCTCGGCGCATGGCTGGAGGCAGGGCATTGAGCCAGGGGTGCGCTGGGTGAGCAGCGGCACTGGGAATGGGACTACGGTGAAATCTAGGGTGGTTGCAGCCGCCTCTGTAGTCCCTTCCCCGAGCCCAGCCCCCGCCGAAAAGAGCCCAGGGCAGCGCCAGCTCCAGCCCCCCCTGCCCCCCCTCTTGCCCTCCCAGGATGCAAGCAGCAGTGGGAACTGCTCCCTCCATGACGAGCTGCAGCTCCATCCCATGCCCCACCCAACCCTGGCTAGGCAGTGCCTACCCCTGCCCCCTCCCTCACTGCAGGGGGCACTGATCTGCCCCGCACTGCCATACCCCTTCCCTCCCCCCTCCCCTTCCACTACACCAGACTTACCAGCTGGAAGCAGCTGTATCAGAAATCTGATCATATCAGCTGATATGCCTCCTTAAATATCAGCTAGCGGTATCAACCCCAAAAATCTTTAATCAGTGCGCCCCTAATATTTTAATTTT